CTGCCAACATCATCAAAGACCCATCACACCCCCGTAATGATCTCCTACAGCCTCTTCTGTCAGGCAGAAGATACAGAAGCCTGAACACACACATGAGCAGGTTCAGGAGCAGCTTTTACCTGGTCATTATCAGACTGATGAATGGACTTTCTAATCTCAAATAATGCTGATCTTGCTAACATTGATCTTGCCTAGCGCACACCCTGTGCAATGTAACCTGCATGTCTCTGTCTAAGTCTTTTTAATCTGTACATCCTTTGCTTACTATGATCTGCCTGTACCGCTCATAAGCAAAGCTTTTCACTGTATTTTGGTACATGTAACAATAACTCAATCAATTAATCAAGGGTCCGAGGGGGCTCACATGGCTGGAAATGGACTGCATGTCCACCTTTAGAGTGTCCCTGAGAAGAGATTACCATGGGTCCTCTGTGTAGTTCTCTTCTGGCTGGGAGCCCTGCGCACTGCTATGTCTCCTTGTAAGAAGGGGCACCTGGAGCGTTGTTAATGTCGCCATACCTCCAGTGCTGACGGGCATGCTTTCTCTGAGACCTTGGCACACTTGGGAACATTTCTCTGCGGAGGTGGTAGAAATGCTGAAGTTACCTGTAAGACAGAAGACAAAGCTTTGTGGACAATGGTTAGAAGTGGTGTGCATTGAAATAAAGGGATGGTGGGGTTACTGTGAGAGTTGCAGTGGAATGAAAAAATGGAGCAGTACCAGTAAGAGACTGTGCGGCATTTACCCTGGCGGAGTGGAGAAGCTCACTGACCTTTTTAGGGCTGTTCCTCTGCATTGACCCAGGTTGTGACAGGCTCCTCTGCCAGTCCTCCAGCAAGAGGATGCCCCTCCTTTGCACCATCCCATTCACCAGGGTCTCCATTGTCTCTGTCACAGAATCTCAGTGCCATCCTTGCCTTCTCAAACAGGTTCATCAACAAGCAGGGCAGCTTCACAATGCCAATGCTTGTCTGGGTGCACTTTTAAAGATGGTGCCAGCTCCAGGTTTATTGGTGTTTTGGGACATATCCAGTGGTGTTCCAGGAATGGCACACGGTAAGATGGGGCTAGAATTTATTCACTTGTCAGACGTGGGTGTCACTAGCTGGCAATTTATTGCCCATCCCTAGCCACCCTTGAGGAGATGGCGCTGAGCTGTCTTCTTGAACCACCGCAGCCCATCTGTTGTAGGTTACAGTGACAGACAGGGCCGTAGGAGCTGGTGGAGGGACGTTGGGAGTGAGTTGAGTATGAGTTAATGAGCTGCGTTTGGTAAAATACAGCAAGAAATCTCATTGAGTCTCATGGTGAGAATTCATCCAAAAAACCCAACGGGTGCTTAGCCATAAAAACGTAAAATTTATCCTGTGGTGTTTTGCTTGTTGAAGTTGTTGTTATATTTTGGATGTTGAGGCTGTTCGTGTTTGTCAATCTTTACATTGCGGTTGGAAATCCTTGCTACTTGTTAACAACTCCAGCAGGAAGAAATATCAACATATTCAACATAAAAACCCCAGCAACTTCAACAACACCTTCACCATGCAGAAAAAAAACCACAACAAATTAGTCTATTATAAATGATGTAATAGCAGAGCATTTAGAAATCTAATCAAACAGGGTCAGCATGACTTCATGAAGTCTAGAATTTACTAGAACTCTTTGAGGAGGTAATAAGCAGAATAGATGAAAGGGAACCAGTGAATGTAATACATTTGGATTTTCAGAAAGTGTGTAAGATATTACACGTTTGGCTGCTTAAGAAGAGCCCGTGGTGTTGGAGGTAGATTTTTTAAGTGTGGACAGAGGATTGGCTAACTAAAAGAACGAAGACTGGGGATAAGGAGGACATTTTCAGGATGACATCCTGTAACTAGTGGAGTGCCACAGGGATCAGTGCTGGGGCCACAATTAATTACAACTTATATTAATGACTTGAAAAACGAAAGTGAATATGTTCTAGCCAAATTTATGGATGACACAAAAATAGGTGGGAAGGCAAGTAGCGAGGATGACAGAATCTACAGAGGGATACAGAGAGGTTGAGTAAGTGGGGGAAAAAAACCTTAGCAAATGGCATATACTGTGGGAAATGTGAGGTTACATGCAAGGAGAATAAAGGAGCTGAATATTATTTAAATGAAAAAAGACTGCAGAAAGCCAGTGAACAGAGTGGTTTGGGAGGCCTCATCCATGAATTATAAAAAGCTAGCATTCAAATTCAGCTGGTAAAAAGGAAAGCAAATGGCCTTTATTTTAAAAGGAGTGAAGTATAAAAGTAGGGAGGTTTTGCTAAATATACAAGGTATTAGTCAGATCATAGCTGGAATGCTGTGAACAGTTTTGAGCCTCTTATCAAAGGAAAGATAGAGTGGTACTGCAGGCAGTCCAGAGACGGTTCACCACACTGATGCAATGTTAAGTATATTTGAGGCTGAGAGATTTTTAATCAGTGAGAGAATTGTGTTATGGGGAAAAGGCAGGAAAGCGGAGCTGAAGATTATCAGATCAGCCGTGATCTTGATGAATGGTGGACTTGATGGGCTGAATGGCCTACTTTCTGCTCTGGAGTCTTATGATGATCTTAGCTTCATCTTTGAAAAGCACAAAGAAATGCAACAGCAACCTCATCATTGAAACGTACCAAACAAATGCAACAACATGTTCAACTTTGAAAAGCACCAGAAGTAAAATATTGCAATTTCTCCACATGGGAGCACATGGCATGTGGGATCTTGCAGAGCTCACATGGCCTGTACCTCCCCCTACACTCCAACAATGGCCACGCCACAAAAATAAAAGCTTGAGTGAAGACCACAGTCCATTAACACAGAGGGCTATTCATTGAGGAGGGTCTGTACACAGGGAGGGGTAAAGGGCTAGGGAATGTACTGACACAGAGGTGTCTTCACAGGCATGGAGGTAATTAAACAGGGTCTATTAATAGGGAGGGGGTAACTAGACAGAGCTTTGATCAAAGAGAGGGAGTATTTAGACATAGTAACTGGATGGAGAAATTAAGACAGGGGCTGTTATAGGGATGGTATATTTAAACAATGCATGTAAACAGGGTGGTGGTAATAAGAGTGGCTGTTTACAGTGAGGGTATTTAGCAGAGCGCTCTTCACAGAGTTGGGGTATTTAGATAGGCATTGGGGGCTGTTCAGGGGGCAGGTAGGGTAAATTCATGGAGGCGGACTGGGTCTTAAAGGGGAGTTACTGAACATAGAGGCAGAAATATGCAAGGAAAATATTTCACAGGGAGAGTTTTTACAATCTTTATTCTTTCTTGAGATATGGTTATCACTGGCAAGGCCAGCATTACCGATCTCTAATTGCCTTTGAACTGAGTGGCTTGCTTGGGCCATTTCAGAGGGCATTTAAAGATCAATCGCATTGCAGGGGTCTGGAGTCACATGGTTCCTTAAGGATGTCAGATCTCCTTTCCTAAAGGACATTCATCAACCAAGTCAATAATCAATAACAGGACTGAGGACACCTATCAACACCTGATTTTATTAATTGAATTTAAATTACAGCAACTGTTGCGATCCAAATTGCCAGAGTATAAGCCTTAGCCTCTGGGTTACTCGACCAGTGACGTTATAAATGTGCCATCTTCAGACACAGGGTGCTTAGACAATGCTGTTCATAAACTTCTAGACATCTATCTCAACAAGAACCCAATCTCTACAGTAAATGTCACATGAGCTAACATATAGGATAGCACAAGCATCATATCACACTGGTAAGGGTGTTTTAGCCCTAGAAGCAATATCACGGTGGTATATCAGTTTATTAAATTGATACCTGGAATAAGTGGGCTGTCTCATGAGGAAAGGTTGGACTGAGTTTGTTTACACTAGGGTTTAGTGGAGCAAAGGTTGACCTGATTGACACATATAAGATTCTCAATGATCTTGATAAGGCAAAGTTAGAAAGATGGTTTCCTCCTGTGGATGAGTCCAGAACAGTTCCGATGAAAGGTCACTAGATCTGAAACATTAACTCCGCTTTCTCCTCACAGATGCTGTCAAACTTGCTGAGTTCTGCCAGCAATTTCTGTTTTTGTTTCACAAGATGGGAAATGGGAGCAATATTTGACAAGGGTGTAAAATTGATGGAAGAGGTGGGGAGTTGGGATTTGCAGATTTACAGGATGGGAAATAAACTGGGGAGGGAGGGAATAGAATGTTCTGGCAGTGGGTATGGTGAGCTTGTGGGAATGCTCATGGACAGGAAAATAAATTGCAGGGGCTTAAAATGTCAAGAGTTGGAGCTGCACCCATCCAGGCAAGTGGGGAGTACTCCATCACACTCCTGACTTGTGCCTCGTAGATGGGGGACAGGCTTCTGGGGACTCAGGAGGTGAATTACTCGCCACAGCATTCCTAGCCTCTGACCTGCTCTCATACTGGCCATCAAAATGATCTGCAACAGTAGGGCTTGAATGAAACAAGATAGTGAAACAAAGAAATTGACAGTGGAATGAATGACACCCAGAGCTCTCCTGTGTGTGAAGTGACCAGGCTGCAGGCTGCAGATCTCCAGGTTTTGACTGGAATTACGTTCAACAACTGAAGCAAGAGAAGGGCTTCATGGCTCTCTCTCTCTCCCTCCCCACCTCGGAATAGTCCACAAGCTCCATTGTGACTCATGCTGAAAACAATGAACGTCGTGACAACCTTCGGTCAAGTTTCACGGTCACTGGTTACAAAGAATGGGGAACATTCTGCAGTTGCCACGGTGACTGTTTGCTTTTTGGTGGCGAGCTCTGCTCTATTTCCCCTTCGTGACCACAGATGATAAGAGAATTTGCCTCCAACGGGATAGTGTGATGGTGCTGGGCAGAGAATTCACACACCCTATATCCATCTAAAACCGCAGCAAGTTCTCCATCTCTGAAGTCAGTGTTCCTTTGCTTTCAGGTTTGCATTGGGATTTGTATCTGAAAGAATTAGCATTCCCCTGGGACACACTCCCCAAAGTGGAAATTAAGTAATTATTTCAATATGGTTGAGTTTATGTCTGAATAACGAGGGACAGGTAGAGACCCCCAGGTCTGTTGAGCCTGACCCACTCAATTCTAACAGCTACACACACACAAAGTACTATAAACCTGCAACTACCACCCACTAGAAACAGAAACATTCCTCACTTGAAGGAATGCTCCAATTCTTATCAGCGTGATTATGATGAGCCGAAAGGTCTTCTGCTTGACACATTTTGTTTTGATGTTTTTAACTCAGTGCATCATTGCCCAAAGACACTCAGCAGGTTAGGCAGCTTCTAGTGAGAGAGGAACTAAGTTCACGTATTCAGGTAAGATGTTAAATGTCTCAAGATTTTAGTGAGTGTGTCAGTGTGTGCGTGAGGTGAATGTGTGTGTGTGAAAGTGGGTGGGTGAGGGAATAAGCAAGTGGGAGATTGAGTCAGTGAGTAAATTAATAAATGGAAGAGTGAATGGTTGAATAAATAAGTGATGGAGTGAGTGAATGGTTGGTGACTGAATGAGGGAATCAGGGAATGAGTGAATGGGTAGCAGAGCTGGGTTAGGAGGGAGTCGGGGCGTGCAATTGATGAGGGGTGGAAGGGTACCATACGGATTGCAGTGCTCAGGTTGGTTACATAGGCTGATCTCTCAGTTAGATCAGGTATAAACATTTTCAGGATCAGTATCCAGGTAAATCCCACCTTTCAAGATTCTGATCCTGAACTCGATATCAGACACATTTATGGATGATCCCACGCAGCACGGGTCAGTGTAACAGAAGTTTAAAGTTGCGGGACAATTTCACCGCGAGTCTTTCAGGTGTTCCACAAAGGAGCTGTCACACGCTTCCCAACTTTACGCAAAACTCCAAGAATCGGTATATGGGAATAGTGTGTTTACCAACGATGTCGTCGAGGACAGCACATAAATGGGAAATAGCATGGGACAGGGATTGAGGGAATTGTTTGGGAATGGGATGAAAAGCCATTGACAGTGATTCCCTGGTTACAATTGGATGGATAAGAATGGAATCAGAAGAATGCAGTTGGTCAATGCCAGAGGGTCATGTGGGCAATCTTGTCAGAGGTTACAGACAGGTTGAGAAGAATCTACTTTTGTCAGTGTCACATCGGATGTCATTTAAGACCCTGACAAGAGGCGTTTTTGTATTGTGAGGAGGGTGGAATGCTGATTAGAGGAATTCAGACATGGACAACAAAAACAGAAGTTGCTAGGGTCATCGGACCCGAAATGTTAACTTTGATTTCTCTTCACAGATGCTGCCAGACCTTCTGAGCTTTTCCAGCAACTTTTGTTTTTTTTTCTGATTTACAGCATCCGCGGTTCTTTTGGTTTTGATTCAGACATGGCATTCTGGGAACATTGAGCTCAAATCTGGGAGGTGATAGAGCCTGCAGATAGGACATTGTGTACAGGGTCTGGCCCACATGGATGTGGTTGAAAGCCTGTAGTTTGAGGACGGCGCGAGTGGGAGGTGGATCACATGGGCAGGATGAAAGAGGGGAAAGAGGAAAGAACGGAGGGAAAGTCATCTTAGAAAATTCCACCTTACGGACTAGGTGGAGAGAGGCAAGTAGAAAATCCACGATCAGATCCTGGAGACTAAGAAGCGCATGAGGTGGAGGGGGTTTGAAAAGCTGAGGTTCTCAAATGAGGAGTAGGGAAACAGAAGCAATACTACCAATCATAGCTAGACCACTGGGAGACTCAACATGGGACCTAGGGGAGTTGGACAGGGAAAGGATTGTGCTAGCTTGAGTGGCCACCTTGCCAATCAGTGAGAGGGTGAATGAGGGACTTGTGGTTGCTGCTTGTGAACAGGCAGTGCAGAGTGATGTACCGAGCCAGTGTTTGCCAAGAGCAGCACAGAGGAAAGCTCTGAAGGCTTATTTAAGGGGGAGCCAAACTGTCAGCAAAGAGCAAGAAGGTGCAGGAGTTCTGAGAGATTGAGGGCAGAGATTTGGGAAGGCAGAGGTAGTGGGTGGCAGGGAATGAAAGGGGACATTATGCCCAATGGCAGGAGAAAGGATTACAAGAAGGGCAGACTGAAAACAGGCAAGGATACTAACAAAGTGGAACTGCAAGTGTTGGGTTTGAATCTGGAGGGGGAGAAAATGGAGAGACTGGTTATGCTGCAGCTGTCAGGCCATGTACATCCTCATAGTGAATGGGGAGTACAGGGAAGCCTGGACAGACTGCAGAGTTTGAGAGCAGTTCCACAATGGGTCAGAGTTACTCACTACTACCTCACGATGAAATGTGTGCTGAAACAGAGATGATCCTATTTCCCACCCAGACAGACAGCAGAGGAGGTAAAATATTGCACTAAAAACGCTAGACTTCTCATTTAAAGCAGAAGATTCTTAATGTTCTCCATCCTTTGATTTTACAGACTGGCTGGATCTAACATTATGAACGATTTGTGTGGTCCTCTATTATCCAAGACTGGGTAAGACAGGAAGATTTGGTCGTAACTTATTTAGAAAGATTTTAACCTGGTCAAGTCACAGTTTAGAGAGGATGAGGGAACAGCCATTTGGGACCAAAATGAGGAGGAATTTCTTCACTCATGAGACATGGAAACTCTTTGGAATTCTCCACACTGCAGAGTTGTGAACGCTCAATAATTAACTGTGCTCAAAACGGAGAGCAATAGAGCTTTGGATAATGAAAGGAATCATGGGCTATGGGATGAGATGAGAAAGTGGATACAAAAGGTTAGCCGTGACCTTATTGACTGGCAGAGCAGCCAATAGTAGAAGCAAATTACTGCAGATGTTGGAATCTGCACTCAAAAGACCGGTTAATACAGACAGAGGGCCAAAGATCTTCCCTGAATCTGGCCTTGACATGAGAACCCAATCGTTCCCTTAATCTATGGCTCAGATCAGAAGAGAGACTAATGACACACACTGGTTTTTACAGTGAAAAACAATATTTTTATATATTTTATATATTTTACAATGATCACATACAATGCGGTTACAGTGCCCTCTCCCTCTCTCTATACAAACAATCCTGTGAAACACCTGACCAATGATGGACAATCCTATGGATTTCCCTTGGTTTTCATGATGCCTAATAATCATTTCAATCACTAGGCCTTGGGATCTTTCTATGTCACATTCCAAAGTTACTGGCTATTCTGCTTTGGTCATGTCCCTGACTTGCTGATCCGAAAGGACTGCTTGAATTCTTTTCATTGCATTCCACTTGCTGTCTTTATCAAATTCCATCACTCCTCTTATATAAAAAAGTTGGTAATGCTAACTTTTATTGTAAAGTTTTATAATTATTTCTACATTAGCACTCTTTAGCTAATGAGATATGCCAGGCATCTCTTTAATGTTTTCTCCTAATGCTTTTATCATGCTGTGGTTATATATGTGTGCCTATAATTTCGTTGAAATCTGTGATTATTTGACAAATTTTTAACTAGAACCTACTTCTTAATATTGTAAATAGTTTCAAAGAAACAGCTAATTCCTGTGAAATAACTTTAGCTGCTGTTTTTATGGCTGCATGGTGCTTAACTAATACTGTTCATCTAATGGGACAATATCGTTTCCTTAATGAGACTGGAATTAATTACTTGTAGTTTAATGATTCTTCAAAGTTTCCTTTTTACGAGCCACAATTGCATTATTTCACCTGTTTTTGTTACAGATCTTTGAAATGTTCATCCTTGAATATTTCCTTATGGAGGCTGCCTCAGCATTTCCTTGTAATTTGTTGTTCAGACAATGTTTCACTTAAATATTGAAGCAGGGTTTTCAATTCTGGCCATTTTGTATCTCTCAATTAGGGGCAGCTCCAGCAGATGCCGTTCTGAAATATGAGCCACTCAGCGTGGTCAGGGTTCAAGTCCCACCTGCCCCAGCTATATCTGAACAGGTTGATTTTAAAATACCTAAATGGGGCCAGTTATCTCGGTTGACTGGATGGCTGGTTTGTGACGCCAACAGCACAGGTTCAGTTCCTGTACTGGCTGAGGTCACTATCAAAGGGCTACTCTCTCAACCTCACCTGAGGTACGGTGAACCCCATTTTCTCCAGCCACCCCCAATCCCCCTCTCTAATGAAACCAGGGCTTTGCTAAGTCGAATGGGGCAAAAATGGTTAGTTTAGCTTTTCAAGGTCATTGTAAGTATCCATTAAGACTGTATTTGATCACAGTTGATGGAACTACTGAACCAGTCAGATCCCTGGATGGAATCTGGCTTGATAGTTTTTTGTTTTAAACTATTAAAATAGAGGTCAGTCACTGAAATAGAAAGTGAAATGTGTTTAACATTAGACCAGAAGATTACTATACAAAAGACAAAATAAATGTAAACAAAGAAACCCAAGCTACCTCATTATAGGTGGGTCTTAGCCCAGCGCGGTTGAAAGCAGTCAGGTCTCCTCCAAACTACCTTAAAAATATTCAATCTCTGGTTTTCTGAACCAAAATCAACCCTTGATTATTCAGACCTGAAAATAAACCAATCACCTTCGATGCTTAACCACCTCTTGTAAACCACCAACAATTTCAGCAACAGTTCATTAATACACCACGAGTCTACATATATTTGCTTCCTGAGACAGAATCAACGCTTCAAGTCCAATACAATCTGACTCTTCTTCAGAACTTAACTCTGTTTCTCTCTCCACAGAAGCAGCCTGACCTGTCGAGTTTCTCCAGCATTCTCTGTCCTTGTTCCGGGAACTTGCATTTCACAGCTTCCCTTTTTGTTGCTTTATCTCTAGCACGACAGAAAATGCCGTGGAGATGTGTAAAAAATGTGGGAGAGGGATGACGTTCCCAGAATTGTACAAGGTAAGAGATCAGTTATACACACAAATCTGTAGTGTGGCAGACTGCAGGAGGTTCCATGTATTAATGGTGAATGGTAACACTTAAGTTCAGCAACATTTAGTACCTGGCCAGAGATGAATTCTTAGTGCCATACAGCACAGAAACAGACCCTTCGGTCATCTTGTCTGTGCCAACCAAGTTTCCCAAACTAAACTAGTCCCACTTGCCTGCATTTGGCCCATATCCCTCTAAACCTTTCCTATTCGTGTACCTGTCCAAATGTACCTGCATCTACTATTTCCTCTGGCAGTTCATTCCACATACAAACCACTCTGTGAAAAAGTTGCCCCTCAGGTCCCTTCTAAATCTTTCTCCTCTCACCTTAAAAATATGCTCCCTAGTTTTGAACTCCCCCATCTAGGAAAAAGACCCTTGCTATTCACCTTATCTAAGCCACTGATGATTTTATAAACCTCTATAAAGTCACCTTTACAAACCTCTATAAGGTCACCCCTCATGCTCCTACGCTCCAGTGAAGAATGTCACAGCCTATCCAGCCTCTCCTTAAACTCAAACCCTCCATTCCCAGCAACATCCTGGTAAATCTTTTCTGAGTTCTCTCCAAATTAATTACATACTTCCTATAGCAGGCTGACCAGAATTGCACACTATACTCTGGAACAGGCCTCACCAGAATCCTTTACAACCTCAACGTGATGTCCCAACTCCTATACTCAATGGTCTGACCAATGAAAGCAAGTGTGCTAAATGCCTTCTTTACCATCCTTACCATACCATTATGACACAACTTTCAAAGAACTATGTACCTGAAATGCTTGGATTTCTCTGTTCGACAATGCTACCCAGTATACCATTAACTGTATAAGTCCTGCCCTTGTTTGTTTTACCAAAATGCAATACCTTGCATTTACCCAAATTAAACTCAGTCGGCCACTCCTCAGCCCTTTGATCTAATTGATCAAGATCCCTTTCTACACTTAGATAATCATCTTCACTGTTGTCTATACCACCAATTTTGATGTCATCCATCAAACTTACAAACCATGCCTCCTAAAAATTCTCAGCCACATTGTTTATATAAACGACAAACAACAGTGGACCCAGCACCAATCCTTGCAGAACATTGCTGGTGACATACCTCGAGTCCAAAAAACAACCCTCCACTACCACCCTCTTTCTCCTAACGTCAAGCCAATTTTATATCCAATTGGCAATCTCTCCCCTAATCCCATGTGATCGAACTTTACTAATCAGTTTACCATGCAGAACCTTGTTAAAAATTTTATTAAAGTTCACGTAGACATCTACCACTCTAACCTCATCAAACATTTTGGTTACGTCCTCAAAAAACTCAAAGTTAGATTTTCCATGCAGAAAGCTGTGCTGACTATCCCTAATCAGCCCTTGCCTCTCCAAATGCTTGTAAATCCTAACTTTCAGAAACCCCTCCAAATACTTTCCCAACACTGATGTCAGACTCACTGGTCTATAGCTTCCAGGCTTCTCCTTACGGTCTTTCTTAGAGGCACAACATTAGACACTCTACAGTCCTCTGGCACCTCACTCTTGGCTATAGAGGATACAAATATCTCTGCTAGGGGCCCTGTAATTTCTTCCCTAACTTCCCATAAAGTCCTGAGATATATTTGATCAGGTCCCGGAGATTTATCCCCTTTTATGTTTTTTTAAGGTCTCCAGCACCACCTCTTCTGTAATGCGGACTGTTTTCAAGACATTAATATTTATTTCCCCGAGTTCCCTAGCCTCCATGTCTTTCTGCGCAGTAAATACTGATGCAAAATATGCATTTAACATCTCGCCCATTTCCTGTGGTGCCACATATAGACTACGTTGTTGATCTTTAAGGGGTTTCTATTCTCTCCCCAGTTGCTGTTCTGGTTTTAATGTACTTGAAGAATCTCTTTGGATTATCCATAATCTTACCTGCTAAGGCTCTCTCATATCTCCTTTTCACCCTCCTGAATTCCTCTTAAAAATGCCCCTACACCACTTACACTCTTCAAACATTTTCAAACCTTGATTGAGGAAAAATAGAAAAGATGCAAAATAACCAGCATTAGCAAAACAACAATAGGGTAATATTGTGTCGCCCAGTTATAGAGTCATAGAGCTATGCAGCATGGAAACAGACCCTTCGGTCCAACTCGTCTATGCTGACCAGATATCCTGAATAAATCTAGTCCTAATTGCCAGCATTTGGCCCATATCCCTGTAAACCCTTCCTATTCATATACCCATCCAGATGCCTTTTAAATGTTGTAATTGTACCACCCTCCACCACTTCCTGTGGCAGCTCATTCCATACACGCACCATTCTGTGTGAAAAAGTTGCCGCTTAGGTCCCTTTTAAATCTTTCCCCTCTCACCTTAAACCTATGCCCTCTAAGTTTTGGACTCCCCCACTCCTGGGAAAAGGCCTTGTCTATTTACCCTATCCATGCCCCTCATGATTTTATAAACCTCTATAAGGTCACCCCTCAGCCTCCGACTCTCCAGGGAAAATAGCCCCAGTCTATTCAGCCTCTTCCTATAGTTCAAACCCTCCAAACCTGGCAACATCCTTGTAAATCGTTTTTGAACCCTTTCAAGTTTGACGACATCCTTCCTACAGCAGGGAAATCAGAACTGCACGTAGTATTCCAATTGTGGCCAAACCAATGTCCTGTACAGAGATAGCAGGAACTGCAGATGCTGGAGAATCTGAGATAACAAGGTGCAGAGCTGGATGAACACAGCAGGCCAAGCAGCATCATAGGAGCAGGAAGGCTGACGTTTCGGGCCTAGAGCCTTCTTCAGAAATGGGGGAGGGGAAGGGGGTTCTGAAATAAATAGGGAGAGAGGGGGAGGCGGATAGAAGATGGATAGAAGAGAAGATAGGTGGAGAGGAAACAGACAGGTCAAAGAGGCGGGGATGGAGCCAGTAGAGGTGAGTGTAGGTGGGGAGGTAGGGAGGGGATAGGTCAGTCCAGGGAGGACAGACAGGTCAAGGGAGCGGGATGAGGTTAGTAGGTAGGAGATGGGGGTGGGGCTTGGGGTGGGAGGAGGGGATAGGTGGGAGGAAGGACAGGTTAGGGAGGCGGGGACGAGCTGGGCTGGGTTTGGGATGCGGTAGGGGGAGGGGAGATTTTGAAGCTTGTGAAGTCCACATTAATACCATTGGGCTGCAGGGTTCCCAAGTTGCTGTTCCTGCAACCTTCGGGTAGCATCGTTGTGGCACTGCAGGAGGCCCAGGATGGACATGTCATCTGAGGAATGGGAGGGGGAGTTGAAATGGTTCGCAACTGGGAGGTGCAGTTGTTTAGTGCGAACCGAGCGTAGGTGTTTTGCAAAGCGGTCCCCAAGCCTCCGCTTGGTTTCCCCGATGTAGAGGAGGTCACAACGGGAACAGCGGATGCAGTATACCACATTAGCAGATGTGCAGGTGAACATCTGCTTGATGTGGAAAGTCTTCTTGGGGCCTGGGATGGGGGTGAGGTGTAGGGGCAGGTGTAGCACTTCCTGCAGTTGCAGGGAAAAGTGCTGGGTGTGGTGGGGCTGGAGGGGAGTGTGGAGCAGACAAGGGAGTCCCGGAGAGAGTGGTCCCTCTGGAAAGCAGATAAGGGTGGGGACGGAAAAATGTCTTTGGTGGTGGGGTCGGATTGCAGATGGCGGAAGTGTCGGAGGATGATGCGTTGGATCCAGAGTTTGGTGGGGTGGTACGTGAGGACGAGGGGGATTCTGTTTTGGTTGTTATTGCGGGGAGGGGGTGTGAGGGATGAGTTGCGGGAAATGTGGGAGACACGGTCGAGGGCATTCTCAACCACTGGGTGGTGGGGGGGGGGGGGGGGGGGGGGGGGGGGGGGAGTTGCGGTCCTTGAAAAATGAGGACATCTGAGATGAACGGGAGTGGAATGCCTCATCCTGAGAGCAGGTGCAGCGGAGGCAAAGGAATTGGAATAGGGGATGGCATTTTTGCAGGAAGGTGGGTGGGAGGAGGTGTATTCTAGGTAGCTGTGGGAGACGGTGGGCTTGAAATGGATATCGGTTTCTAGGTGGTTGCCAGAGATGGAGACAGAGAGGTCCAGGAAGGAGAGACAGGTATCAGAGATGGTCCAGGTGAACTTAAGGTTGGGGTGGAAGGTGTTGGTGAAGTGGATGAACTGTTCGAGCTCCTCATGGGAGCACAAGCTTCAAAATCTCCCCTCCCCCTCCCGCATCCCAAAACCAGCCCAGCTCCTCCCCGCCTCCCTAACCTGTCCTTCCTCCCACCTATCCCCTCCTCCCACCTCAAGCCCCACCCCAAGCCCCACCCCATCTCCTAACTACTAACCTCATCCCGCCCCCTTGACCTGTCTATCCTCCCTGGACTGACCTATCCCCTCCCCACCTACACTCACCTTTACTGGCTCCATCTCCACCTATCTTCTCCTCTATCCATCTTCTATCCACCTCCCCTTCTCTCCCTATTTATTTCAGAACCCCCTTCCCCTCCCCCATTTCTGAAGAAGGGTCTAGACCCGAAACGTCAGCTTTCCTGCTCCTCTGATGCTGCTTGGCCTGCTGTGTTCATCCAGCTCTACACCTTGTTATCTCAGAATGTCCTGTACAGCCGCATGACTTCCCAACTCCTAACCTCAATGCACTGACCAATTAAGGCCAGCATACAAAACGCCTTCTTAATTATCCTGCCTACCTGCGACTCCACTTTCAAGGAAGTATGAACCTCTAAAAAGAGATGGGGTGATTTTATTTTTCTCTCACAGTGTCACAAGAATGTGGAACTCTCTCCTGAAAAAGTGACAGAAACAGAGTCGTTGAATATTTTTGGGGCAGAGGTGGATAGATTCACTAGTGCTTGTGGTAAATAAACAGCATGATGACAACATTTGTCTCAATATCCCTGCAAAAATGTCTAATCATTCAGGCTCAGTTTATTTGAAAGTATTGCTGAGACTGGGGTCTAAATTGAGCTTCATTTAAAGAGCTCAGGCCCTCTATCTCTGTGTTATGTTAATAAAACACGGTCAGAACGAACTGCAGTTTTAAGACAGCAGACAAATGATGATGTTCATTTTACACAGAAAGAGGAAGCAATTGTCATTGCACCAGGATACGAGTTATCACGGACTAAAAGTAACATTGGTGTCCACCTATGTGATGAATTCTTCAATCGGATTCAACCTCCAAAGCCATTTGTTTCAAGGTAACCTCACTACTATAAATTTTTGAACTTCTTTTCTAAAAGGAGATAGGGAGAAAGAGAGTAAGCTGTAGGGTTTTGATTTGTAACATGCCTTAAAAAATACACAAACTGATGTGCTGTGAACTGGCTCAATCTAGGCTTTCATTTTCAAACAGCTGCATCTCTAAGCAATTCATTCTGTACTGCTTGCTTTACCCTGAACCAGTCTCCCTGTGATGGTCAGCTTGCTGTAGCTGTCCCGGTCACCCTGTGCCATACAGCTTGCTGTACCTGTCCCGGT